TATCACTTGATTACCTACGAAATATTCATAAAAGGCAACGGTCCCCAACCTTTTCTTAACCAGTGGCTATTTTGGTTTTTCAATTTGTTGCAAGGATCATAAAATTTTGAAATAATAATGTGAATTTTGAAAATAAATTCCTTTAATCAAAACATTTAACACATTCATCTATCAAATACTGATAAAAGAACAGCCGCTAGCATTCGCTACTTTTCAACTGACCGTATGTTTGTAGACCATATTTCAGTTCGCATGAACGAACCACCAGTTTGAAATTACTGCATTAGGAGGAGATTGATGTGAAGGAACAGAAATGACCAATCATTCCAGATCACTTCCCTTATACCATCATCTGTTTCGATTATTTCTTATCACTCAAACATCACTAATCAATCACCCACCCATCTATCTCCTATACTTTTGTTTTATTTTTTATTTGCTGCTACTACTACTGCTTGCTACACCTTTTTTTTTGCAATCTTTTCCAATTATCAAATTAAAATGTATAATGTAAGAAGGAATTTTGCAGTAGCATTACAAATTCTTCTCTATTCAATTATTCCATCAAATTTTCATCCAATAGAAAAGTTCACAATTTTATATTTATGAATCATAAACAAAACATATTATACTGTATCATAATCATCATTTAATCAATCGAATCTTAAAATATTACTTCCATTTATACAATAAGACAAAATAAAAAGAAAATTTTCGTTCATCTAAATTTTATTTCATAAATTATTCAATTTTACAACAAATATTGTACTTATTCAAACCTTACATCGTATAATCTTATTCAACTTTATACCGAACATTATAATAAATCTTACTTACTTATATAAAAAAAGAGAGAGAAAAAAAAACGACACAAAATTTTTCATCCACTGGATTTCATATGAATTAATCAATTTTGTACTAATTTATTCAACTCAGGATAACCGTAGTACAGTACTGTAGTTTATATTCGATTAGAAGAATTGTGGGGACGAAACATCTTCAACCTATTCCTGAACTTTTAATGAATATGACACCTTATTTGGCAGATATTGATTGTGCACTTCAGAATGCGACATTTTTGATGATACTATAGGATGAACTAAACGTTGAATTAGAAAGTGGAAGTTTAATTTATTCAACTTCATGTAGACATTCATCAATATGACCCAAAATCACTAATTCACCTACCCTTCCTTACCTTAATCACTTCTTTTCTATTTCTTCTAACCTAAAATTGTCAATAACAACGCAACTCCAACTCATCTAAATAACAACTGATAGTTTGTAGAATGAGTTGGATGAACTTACTACCTCAAAAACATCCGAACTCACCGAAACCAATTGCTAATCTCCTCCACATGTCCGCACATGTATCATTATAAAAACTGTGTGTAAGTGTATGTGTGTGTATGTGTATGTGTGTATATGTGTGTGTGTATGCATCTGTAGGTATATATCAATATAATCACCATTCCCCATATCATTGAACATAATAACAATAACATTCTTGGACAAAAGAATTGGAAAGGGTACAATTTGGATATCCAACAACTCCACCCATCTATCTCTCATCATCATCATTATCATTATCATTAGCATTATCAACATCCTTGAACGAACCACTAGGAAAGGTTTTACACGCAATTAGTTGCAAACATTAGGGATATGTCCATCCAATTTGCACAATCGAACGACAGTAGCATTGGCGGAATTGGCCTTACCTTTTACTGCTAAGGATTATCTATCATGGCTTAGCAAGATTAGACAAAGACAGCAAAGATCACAAGTATCTATGTCCACTTATCAATCTCTCCATCTATTTCTCAAAACCAAAAATAGAACGTTTAATTGTATCCATATGTGAAAGTAAAAATAAAAAGGATGCTATTACTAATTAACAAATTATTTAATTAAGCATATTAATTAATAGCAACGAAAATGTATATACTAGCTGATAATATAGCTTGAAAAAAGAATGCAGCATTTCTTTTCAGACAAATATAAGTGTAAAAGAAGCAAAAAAGTGTGTAATGGAAGAAAGAGAAAAACAAATAGTTTTTTAGGAAGAGAAAGTAAATATGTGAACGTATCGGAAAGTTTTACTCAGAAACTTCTATTTTTAAAATTTTTTAACAATAACAAAAAAAACAACATTCCCGCGTTTGTTAAAAGTCAATTTTTCATTGATGTCACTTTTAAATTTCGAAAATTAAAGTTTAAAAGTTCAAAGAATGTGAAAGAGACAAAAAGAAAATTAAATGAATTGTACGGTAAGAGTATGTATCGAAATCTTGTTTTTTCTGTTGAAAAAAAGATAATTTTTGTGATAAGAATATACATATTACAATTCTTCCTAACAAGTTACGACTTATAAGATATTATTCATCAGACGATTTCTTTTAACCAAATAATATCGTTTTAATTGGTTAATCGATAAAAACTTCCTCATGTTATAATTTTTAATTGAATTTAGAACAAGTTACAGAAAGTTTTAGAAAAAGAAAACTGAAAATTTTGGGACATAATTAATCGGTTTAATCGTACTGTAGTAACTTGACAAATTTGTTCGCTTGAAGAATTATCAATTACTCTCATTTCTCCTACACCAATATTAATAATTTATCATTCAAAACAAAACAAAATTATGGAAGGAAAAAAAGAGATAATGGGATGATAATATCACCGAAAACAAGAAAACATTTTATTGGAAAAGTAAATTATTATTGGAAACGTTTAATCGGATTTTGAGGACATTTATTATCTAATAACACCTTTGTTAGTAATATTAGTAGAAACCATGTGTTGTTGAAATTGTTATTCCAGGAATTTCTAAACGGATTTCTCGGATAATGCTGAACTTGATCAGCAAGTAATTTAGCTTGCTTATTTGCTCGATTACTCTAATGTGGGGCAATTTTGGGAGTGTGTATCTGTTTTGCTAAATGAATTAATGAATTACTGAATCAATTTAAGGCATGATTTAACCTTCCTCGATTTTCAATTCCAAGTTTATAAACATCTTAGGATTATGTACTCGCAGTGATATGTTATCAGTCAGTCAGAGAATGATTTTACTGTACAGTGTTATGTTAATTGTATGAATTTCCAGAAGTAGTTTCAGCAAACATCTTTACAATAAGCAGAAAAAGCACGGACGTTAAATAGTTTTTCGTGTTGACAAATGACACAATTTAGGTAATCAGATACCATTTACACCTGGACTTTTCAGTCTTCAGATTCATTGATTATCCGGAAATACGTCACCTTCTTTCGTCCAATGACAACAATGCTCGAATAAGAAGAACCGCAAATGGAATATTTCGTTATTGTTGCTGATAATGAAAAAGAAAATGGAAACCATAATAAACTTTGCCACAACTTTTTCACTAAATTTTAGTTGACAGAGTATAAAGTATAAATATGATGAAGGATAAACGCACAAAGAAGAAATACGCAAAAATATTGACAGATGACAGACTGTAAGAGTGTAGACAACATATCAAACTCGGCTATTTGAGCTATCAATCAAAATTTACCAATCACAAGAAAAAATCTTCTACGAAAATAAGAAATGCTGAAATATTTCCTTAAAACATTTTGGGCAATCATCACCGCTTACGACTTCTTTCTGGTTTTTTAACACCTTTTTTCCATTGAGTAACTGAAACCACTGCAATCTCGTCACCACGACATCCCGGGAACCCAATCACAGTGCTGTCTACGAAAATAACGACCAATTATGCCCTTAGCAAACAAAATTTATACTCATGATTGATTTAATAATCACGCAAAGTGATATACTATTATGACGGTTTAATAGTCACGCAAAGTAATGTACTACTACGATGTCGCCGAAATGAAATCTTCAGTCCAAAACATCTGTTCTTTGTCCTTTTGAAAATACGGCTAATTGGTTTGAACCGTTATGATTTGTTAATTAGTCTGATTGCTATGGGAAGGGAGGGATTGTGCACACTACTACTAGTATGAAATGAAATTTAATTACAAAAACAAAAAAAAATGCAAAATGCGCAATTGAGCTGTAACAGAGAAAATTCATTATTCACAGGAAGATTCGTAGCAAAATGAGGAATGAATGAGCAAAGTGATACGCAACATATTGAATTAATCAAAATACAATAAGAAAGTTAGTACAAAAACAAATATTATCTGTAGCTTAGTAATTAAGAAAAGTACTTTACGTAAAAATCATAAATTTATGAGCGCCAATTGTAAAATTAAAATTTAGACGATAATGAATTAACAGTCTTCATATATCATATAATGTATGATATGTTAATATCAGAATGAGTTAATCATTGGTCAAAGATCAAGAAAAGTATGTAACGTGAAAATCGCAGATTTTATGAGCGTAAATTGTAAAATTAAGAATTAGATGGGGAATGAATTACCAACCTTTACAATTGGTATCATATAATGGTAGTGAATGTATGATATGCTAATTTTAGAACACTTTGTTGAGTGATCAAAGATCAAGGAAAGTATGTTACAATTGATTAAGGATCAAAAAAGGTACCGCAAATTTTACGAGCATAAATAACAAAATTAAAAAATTAAGCAGGAATGAAATAATAAGTAAATTTAATAGTATCCAATTCTCTGAACAAATTTTACTATACATTTTGGATGAACAATACTAAACAATGTCTTTTAAAATGAAAGATGACAAAAGCGCCAATATATAGCTAATTTCTGTTCTTTCCATTTTGTTTACTTGATTCCTAATCAATGTGATGTAATAAGGATTGCATGATTATCATTATCATTATCATTATTATTATCATCCGAGATCATGTCAGAGAAGAAAATAATAAATGAAGTGATTTGGCAAATAAATAACAGCATTTAAAAAAGATTGAATCACAGGGATAAATTTGGAGAGGAAGAAACCCGCAAAAACGTGAAGTTACGTATTACGAAATATACGTTATGTGAGAGCCATAAGTATGTAAAATCTTAAAGATTGCAAAAAAAAAAAGTCACATCGATGTTTCGATAGGTAGTGTTTTGCCAGTTGAATTACTTCGTTCATAGTGTAATGGTGGAGTAATAAGATCAACAAGTGATTGACTTGTTTGAGGATTCCGGATGTACTCATAATCCGGTGGATTAGGTGGTGGTATTGAAGGACGAATTTTAGTCCTATATGAAGATGAGCTGTTACTATAAGGTCTATTTTTAACCAATTCTGTGGTAGTTTCATACAATGAACGCCGTGGTGGTGATGAAATAATCGGGATTTCTAATGGGATATGAAGTTGCTCGTCCATTGAGGTAGCAGCAATACATGATGATGTTGGTAGCGACGATGGTGGGAATGGTGGTGGTGGTGGTGCGGTACGTATCGGTTTAAGTGGTGTTTCACCATTTGTATCACTTGATGCAACGGAGGAATGTCCATGAACTTAAAAAAATATCAAATAAATGAAAATTTTTAAAGAAAATAGAAATTGGATTGATGTAAAGTATTCGATCATTTTTCAAATAATAATTATCAATTTTTCTTTTAAAATTAGAAGAAAAATTTTGATTAAAAAAATCTTATATTTTTGATGATTTATTAAAATTATTACTTTATTATTTCAAAAATGAATAACTGGAAAATTAACTTACTCTCAAGTAATTTTGGATCAAATAATGGCGGTGGTGGAAGATCGACTAATTTATTGTAAACAGATCGTGGACGTGAATCAAAAGTTTTAGGTACTGTATGTAATGTATCTTCTCGTGCTATTGCTTTTGTTGTTAATTGTTCTGTTCGATTAAGAAGTGGTTTAGCCTAAAAATTTTTTCATTATTCAAGTAAAAAAAAGAAATTAATTCTTTTAATTGATATCATTTTCTTTTTTTTTACAAAAAAAGACATTTTTTTGAGTTTTCTTTTACAAAATTATAAAAAAAAGAAAATATATAAATATAAAGAAAATACATAAATATGAATTAATGTTAATACATTGACTATTTCCTAACATTTATTAATTATATTAATTATCGTAATGATGTCTAATAATAATCACATATCATTTAGTCGACTGCTTTATAATTTGTTAATTTATTTTCTACTACTAATATTTCATAAACGTTATCATTACAAATAAAATGATTAATAAATTAAACTAACATGTACAGATATTTACATTCTCCTTTATCTCTAAATATGAAATCATTCCTTTAGAAATTCAAATTTAAATTACAAATAAAATTATTCACAAAAAGTTTATAAAATGATAATGAATTAAATTGATATGTTCAAATACTTTTTATCCACATTTATCTTGAGATCTGAAATTATTTCTTGAAAAAATTCAAATCTAAATTACAAATAAAATAATTAAAAAATAAATTTTATACCAATTGTTGGATAGTTCGATCAGAAATAACTGATGATTGAGCACTACTAGAATCATTCCATGATGAATGTTCAGTAAGTGTTGATTCACCACAATCATGACATGTTGAACATACAACAGTATCCGTACTTGTACTACATGTTGATACATCCGTATTATGCCGATCAATCATTGATCGATCATTATTACTACTAATACTACTACCTGTACGGTTATTAATTGTTCCATAAGTGTTAAATACACTTAATGATACTTCAGCATATGGATCTAGCTTTTGTGATACCAAATTTCTAAAATTAATAAATTTACTGTATAATTTACAAATAAATTTCAATTTCTTGTCAAATTTCATTTAAATTTAAATTAAACACAAAATTATTGATTGAAATGATAAAGTATGAATAATTTAAACGATAATTACAATTGAATATGTTTGAAGAAAAAAAAAGGAAAATTGTAAATTAATATTACCTGGATGGTGATGGTGACATATGATATGCAAAACTTTCAGTACTATTTCCAGAATATGACGAATCAACAGTACAATTTACTTTGCTTAATTCTGCAGCAGTTGGATGATATTTAATATTTTGATCAACAAATGAAGTAACAGAATTATTTCCTGAATACATTCCGGTGGATAATTCAGGTTTTGTTATTGTTAACCATGAATTATTATCTTTTCCGTGAACTAAATTACGATGAGCATCCATGATTGCATCGTCCGTTTGCAAATCTATACCATTTAATGTTCCAGCTGTTGCCATCTGTAAATGATAATGATAATAATATTGTCATCTACAAATGATAATGATAATAATATTGCCATCTATAAATGATAATGATAATAATACATTTAACAACAGTAGTCATGATATT